GCGTTGCCACGGCCCCTCTGTGCCGCCTCCACCCAGCACCGAGCATCAGCCCTAAGCCACAACCTGGGAAAGCTCTAAAGCATCTTTGAATTGTGCCAGAGCCAACACCTGCAGCAGGAAAAAGGTGGTCTGAAACCACACCGTAACCTTCTCAGGCTTGTCCTGAGTTTAGCTCTGCCAGACTGGAATGCCAAATGTTTATGCCTGGCTTTTGTCGCGTTACCTCCCTTAACCTGCGGCAAGAGTCACTTTCTTGTGGGCTTTGCTTTGAAGGAGGGAAAATGTAATTGTAACCACAAACAGGACCCCAGCCCTGGGTGGGCTCCCTGGTGAGGGAGCATAACGATCGTCTCCGAGATGTTTTGGTACATTGAGGTGGGAACCTGAATATCTGCCCCATATTTCATGTCTAAAATTAAAATGTATGCACAGCAAGTAGCTGCTGAGCTTGAATCACTGAGGTACTGCAAAGATTTCCAGGAGTTGGACATTTATAGCACATGAAGCATCCTCATTGTGTCTGTGTTTATTGGAATGGTTATATTTTAATAACAGTGCTTTAAAGGGTATTATGGGGAGTTCAAAGTTCCCTCACCCTCCTACATAGTCTTCTCCCTGGTCCTGGCAGATGGGGATTTTGTGCTAAACTCTTTTTGTCTTGTGCAATTGTTCCAGCGGTCTCCACTGCATTGACTGAGAATGATGTTCTTCGGAAAATGGCAGAGGAAGCAACAAAAAAAAAGCCAAACAGCAAACTCATCAAAGGTATCTCAGGGTGAGTTATAATCAGCACATTACACCAAGAGTCTGAAGCTGGAAATTATGAAATAAAAGCAGAAGGTTCAGAAGCATCAGCCTGGAGGCAGAAACAAATCACTCCCCACTAACAAGCGTGATATTAGAGCTGGTGATTTTCTGCATGGTTGTGTCTACAAATACATGGAGCAACTATAACTTAAAGGCAACAAAGCATGTCAGCTCCTGCTTCAAAGCTGTCTGCAGATTACTTCTGTGATTCTGCAGTATCTGGGTGGGAGGTTTGCTCTCAAAGCTATGTGTGTCCATTTTTTTGTGAATAATATCCTGAGGGAAACCCAGAATTTCTGGGGGATCAGAGCCATCCCTGAATCTGGTAAATAGTTCTGGACAAAAGAATGGAGAAGTTTTAAATACCAAAACTTTTCTTTCAGCTTTTTCAAAGTTAAACTTTGCAATCTTTTTATTATGAAGAAGCATACTTTTAAATTTAAAAATGGATCTGAATTGCAAGAAAAAAGTTTAAACAAAAAGGTGAAAGAATAAAGATGGTAATGGCAATATCAAAAACAGGTTTACTTTAATTTAAAAAGTCAGACCTGGCTGTTCCAATAGCACCTTTTTCTAGTTCTTTTCCTCCATTTTTTATTTTTTTCCCCCACAGGGTAAAAGTGAAAGATATCCATCCCCCTGTGATAACATTGACACTCTCACCAGGAACGGGGCTTTTCATGGCTGTGCTAGTCCAAATGACCATTGCTGGGAAAAGGTGAGTGGGAAGCTGTGTGCTGGCCAAGAAGCATCCCTCCGTTTGCCTGGTCCCACTGGTGGCTTGAGCCACGGGGCTCCCACGGGACGAGGGAGCAGCTGTCGCGAGCAGGTCTCCATGTCAAGGCATTCTTCAAGGTTGCCAGGGTTGCTCTGTGCACATGCACTCGCTGCAAGCTCCAGTTCTCAGCACTTTCCCTCACTAGCTTCTCCAGGGGCCTTTCCAGGACTCCTGGTCCCTTTTTGCAGTCTTGGGGGTTCCCAGTACAAAGTGCTGCAGCTCTGGGCACTAGCCACATGTTAACCCCCAAGCCACCACTTATATTAACATCTGAAAGAGCAGAAAGGATTTACATGATGTAGAAAGTTGATCTGAAATAAAGTTTTTTCAGGCACTTCAGGAAGGCAGCTCACTACAATCTAGGCACTGGCTGACTTTTACTCCTAAATGATAGCAGTGCAGGGTGACGGTTCTCCCAGGGAGGGTTTATCCTGAGTTAACTGGGTTTTGTTCTGTGCAGCTTTTTAGGAGGAAACTTGGAAATCAAAGTGGCAGCAAACTTGACTGCAAACAACAGGCTTTCACAGACTGCTTTGGGCATCCCCAAGTTCAGCTCCGAAAACTGCCACGTTTCTCTTATTAGTGTTAAAACCAACCTCCCTAGCAGGTGAGTGCCAAAGACAGCTTCCCTCCCCACTGTAAAGGACTATTCTGATAATTTGCAAAATTAATAATACCTAGCAAGTATATAAGAGCATTTTTAAATGGGATTCTTTCAGTCTTCAGGTGTGGGTTTCTGCAGAACACAGGTACTATTCACCGCAAATGTTTGTTCAGTGAAGACCTTAATTTTTCCATTAAGAAAACCGCAATGCTTTATGCACAAAAGTACAGGCCAGTCTCATCTATTTTATCTCATGTGATACTCACTTTTGACATGAGTCCTCGTTTCAGTGCTGTCCTCCTGGGATAGCAGAACTTCTTTTAGTCACACAAGCTTTCTGGTTTATTTAAAACCAGAAGGCACCATTCATGAGAAGAGATTTGTAAACAGAGAAAATATCTCTAAATATCAGACATATTTTAGACTAATCTTTATCAGATAGGATACTTTAGTGTTTGACACTGTTGCCTTTTGATCTTTGGTAAATAATTACTATGCTGTTTATAATGACTGTGTTGGTTTGCTGACATGTTATCTCTGCCCAGCGTGCTGCCTAAAGTCCTGAACAAGTTTCTGGATAGCACTCTTCAGAAAGTGCTGCCAGGTCTGGTAAGTCCAATCCTCATTTGATCCTTGTTTTTTAGAGATCTTTTCCTCTTCACTGCTCAGTAACAGTTTTCTTAGTTTTGCCAGCTAAAGGATCATACAAATTGGCAAAAGTGAACATTTCAAGCATTTATTTCTGGGAGCCTAGTGCTTTTGTGCAATCAGCACCTGCAGCAAAGGTCCTGTCGCTGCCTAAAGCCTTGACATCTAGGGCAAGACGGTTAGGGATGTGCTGTTGGGCAGTGCTGACCTTGATGCTGAGCGCATTTCTTCCTAAAGGCTTGTCATCTGCAACTGCTTAACATATGTCATAACGCTGGTCTGGTGTAATTTGATGTCTGTGGTTGGGTCTGGCCCTTCATTCAGTTTAAACCAGACTTATTCCAGAATAACCTAATTCAGTTAGGGATAAAGAAAACTGAGAGAAGCCCCTCTCCAGAAAATTATGAGTGGAGGGTCCTGGTGCTGGTAGCTGTGCCAGTCTGGCAGCCGTGAAACTATGCTTCTGCCAGAAGTCTCAGTTCAGGGTTTTCTCACAAGTTTTCTTCTTGTCTTGCAGCTATGTCCAGCTGTGGATGCGGTGCTCGGCCTTGTGAATGCAAAATTGACCACCATGACCTGTAAATTCTCATCCATTTCTTTCCCTTTCTTAGCAAGAGACCAGTACAGAAATGTCAGAGCAGGTAACTTGCTTTAAAACATCCCTCTTTACTTCCATGCAGCTGAGATCTCTCTCGGAACTGCTGGGACCCTCAGATATGCTTTGCTGAATCCACCAACAACAAGTGAAACTTTCATACAGTTGGATTTAAAGGTGAGTGCTGCTGCCTGGCACTGTGGTCCGAGTGATATTTATGACATCCATTTGCTTGGAAGCATAGTCCCTCCTGGCCTTGGCAGCAGAGGCTTTGGAAGGGGGTTAGGTGTGTGCTGTTTGCGTTGTACCACCTAGCCGCTTTCTTGGCCTGTCATTTTCTGTGGAGTTTATTGCTCTCTCTGTTTTACTACTGAGACTATATAGAGATTGAATGTGTATATTCAAAAGTGTTCTGGGACACGATCCTGTGCAATGTGCTCTAGGTGACCCTGCATGAGCAGGGGTGTTGGACTATATGATCTCCAGAGGTCACTTCCAACCTCAACTGTTCTGTGATTCTGAATCCTTGTATTGATCCAAATACAAATGCTGGAACCGGGCCTGTGCCATCTCTGACATGACAGTTTTTACTGGTCCTTTTAGACCATTCTCCACCAAAAAGAGGGAGATGAGCTTGACCTTCCCACAGACCAGCCGCCTCTTACTTCTCTGCCACCAAAGAAAGAAGCTGCTACCCAGCTCATCCTGTCTGCAAATTTCTTGAGTACGGAGCTCCGTATTATGCAGGCGTCCTTCAGCCTGGACATCAGGGATAACATGGTGGGTAATTTGGGCTTGAGATTTTCCTCTAGAGGCCACTAAAGAAATCTGTACCCCTGTTCAAGACAGATCCATTTTTTTTTAATCATTCTCTTGCACTGGCTGCTGCTTGCAGTCACGTGTGTAGACTCCCAGAGCCTGTAATCTTGTAATCTGCCTCATGCTTTACTGCTGCAGCAAAGCGTCTGCCCAGTGGGTAGCTTGGGCTGGGAGTCGACGGGTCTTGCAAGGTGCAAAGACAGTATTTCCATGTCCTCTCACCTGCTGTATGGAGCGTGGTGGAGGGAGAGGGTGCACCACAAGGGAGCAAGGTAGAGGAGAGCGATACCTCCTGGCAGCCCCCAGTGGCTCAGAGCAGCTCCAGCAGACACCAGCCAGGGCAATCCTGAAACTCCTTCAGCTCATAGCATGCTCCAGCCACAAGAGGTCACAAGAATTTTACAGCCTTTGCCTGTCTCTCTTCCCTTCCCCATTCTAAATCTTTTTCCCTGAAGTGAGTGCATTGACTCCCTGCCCTGTGACGTTTTATTGACAGGTTCTTGGGCTTCTCCCACTGGTGACATCGATGCTCGGAGCCCTCATCCCCGAGGTGGGTGGACTTCACTTAATCCTACAGACCTCGGGGTCATCTCAAGCTATTTATAGCAGCAGATAACACTGATCTCTGTCCACCCACTGTGGCCATTCACAAGGACATGCTGGGAACATTTCCCCCAATGTCAAACTGGTGCTCTCTCCATTTTATTAATAAAACTTTTTAAAATAAAAATTATTTATGGAGCATGCTAAATAACGTGGACCAGATTGTCCACAAAAGTTGCAGAGGATGTCTGGCTCCCATTGAATTAATGAATGTTACCAGAGCTCAGCACCCATCAGGATAATCCCCAGAGGAGTGCATGGGAAAAGAAAGATCGTAATAATAATAATAATCAGCTTCTGCCCTTCCTAACTGCAGGAGAAGGAACTGAGTAGTAGAAATAGCTCTTGCTTGTTCAAGGTACCTGGAAGCTCCAGAGAATGACAAAAAAGGGCCTTGTGTTTCCTTTAGATGAAGAATGATTAAAGGCCAGTAAGAGACTTCTCCAAGACGACCAGTTACCTGATAACTGGGGAGGCTTTCTGCCTGCTTTAGAGCACTGCTGCCCTTCCCAGAGCATGCCTCGAGCCAGACAGAGCGGCCGGCCCTGGCTACCCCAGCGTCACCCTGTGCTTTGCATCTCCTCAGATTTCCAGGGCGCTGCCTCCATCACAGCCACTGGTGATTGAACTGAGAGAAGCAAAACCACCCCTGGTGACAATAACCCCGGAAGCAAGCTTCGCGCACTTCTTCAGCACAGCCGAGTTTCTAGTTTCCCCCTTGGACTCTGCTCCTGAATCCCTCTTCATCCTGGACGTTGTGAGTTGAAGCCGTTTGCAGTCACTGGAGGGTTAATGTGGTCACCCCTGCTCCTTGCTGCCAATCCTGTGCGCGTGACACTGAAGCAAGGGATGCAGAACAAGCAGGCAGGGACGTCTCTGCCTGTGGAAACACCTCGGCCCAGCAGGACAGCTGGCGACCCTGCAGGGCAAGAGCTGTCCTTGTGGAGCCACCTGTTGCCAAGACCTGTGCCCCTGCCAGTGCAGTGTAGGTGTTGCTCAACTACACGTATTCTCTAATAGGGACTTGCTTCCCTTTTCTCCTTGCAGCACAGTGACCTGAAAGCACGGTTTGCTGTTAGAGGAGAAAAGCTGTGCATCTCCCTCGCTCTGGACAGGTAATGCAGCGGCTAATCTTTCTTCCTGGTGTGGGAAGACCAAAAACTGGATGAGTAGTTTACTGGAAGAAAAAACCTGGCAGCAAGCAAAGCACGAGGCAGAGAGATGTGCAGGGGCTGAGGGGAGATGAATGATACTATGTATTTTCTTTTTCTACAGTTTATCTAAAATGGCCTTGGCTTCTTCATCCATTGGCACGTTTGATGTGAGTTCCGTGATGTGTGCCACGCATGGCAAGAGCAGTGCTGAAACTGCGTCTATGACTCTAAGCGCTGATGGGTTTGCTAACTATAATAGGAATTCGTTTCTCAGAACCCCATTCCATTTCTTTCATTATCAATAACAGTTTTATTGAAGAAAAAAAAAAAAGAAAACCGACTCAATTAATACTAAAGATCAAACTATTACTTCAAGGAAGATGTTATAAATGACAATTTAGCCACCAAAATCATTTGCCCATGAGCGTGAACGCTCTGGAAAGGATCTGTCCCTGTTTATAGTGCACGATGTTAATTCCTGGCAGATTTTTCATATTTCAATAACTCTCCCCAGTCCTGGCACTGAAGGGCTTTGGAAGTGTGATCTGCACTGATGTTATGTGCATTGAATGTTTAAATTTCCTCTCCCTCTAATCGTGACTCCACGACAGAGACACAGGAGAGGGTGAGCATCCGGAGCTGAGTTTTGATAACGTCCGTTTGCTGGGCTGACAGATGGGGCTGGCTTTGATGGGATTTCGTGCGGGTGAGGAGGGTGAGCAGTTGGGCTGCAGGGGCAGTCACTGTATCACCTGCTCCACGGATGCTGTCACTCACTGCCGTGATGAGCCGAATCACAGCTGAGAACATTTTTAGACTAGTGAGAACAGTGTAGGTGGCAGAAGGGAATAGTCTCTCTTTTGGCAATTTTCATTGAAATTTAGAGTTTTTCAAATGTTGCCATTCATCTCGGGTGGAGGGAGAGGAAGCCTTTGCAATTTTCCTGTGATTTGAGACCACACTAGGTGAATTAATGGAAGTGAATCTAACAGATGTGGCTGCTGACATTCAGAAAGATGAACTATTTACATCACTTTTCTCTGTTTTAGGAGCTGCCGCTGAAAGGGATTTTGGCAAATGTTATTCATGTGGCTTATGTGCCATCCATCAACGGTAAGCACAGCTAGATGACTTCATCTGAGTACTTGCTATCTGCACGGGGAAATAGTTCTCATTTCTTTTCCTATAGAGTGTTGCTATCTTTTTTTTTTTTGGAAATGTCATTGACCAGCTGACCTTGCACACCCTTCTGCTCTTAGTGTCTGTGAATAACTGTGCCTGGGAAAATTGCTTGCCTGCCATTTTGCACATGTCAGGTTTGCAGTCAGTGCTAGAGAAGGGTAAAATCCTGGAGGTAGGCTCAGGCATGCCCACTCATTCACAGAAAAGAGAGATCAGCACACACAAAACAGATACACTGCAAGTGATGCAGGCTTCTTTTTTGAAATCTCTTTGAACATTGTTCCTGTCGTCAGAATCAAAGCCACTTTCCGTGAAAAATGGAACGGTTTTCCCAGGTTCTTTGTGTTAAGTCTCGGAAATCAGTGTGTCCCTCTTACCTTGGCAGGGCCTAAGCATGATGGTCTCTAAACAATAAGAACAACAAAGAAACACCCTTCAAGATCAATTTAGCGGCTTAATTCGTGTGAAAAGTGTGCCAAAAGTAGAGATTTTACCCATGCTAAGATACATAAATGAGAATATCATCCCTGTTGACTTTCTTTCTGAATCTTCACAAAAACTTTTCTATGATGTGGAATGGAAGCTATCGGGGAAAGCAGAGCAAAAGAAAATAGGCTGGGGACGTGCTGGTGCTGTGTCTTCACCTTCCCGTGAAGCTGACCGCCGTCCCACTTGCTTGTTTCAGAGGCACTGCAAGGAGGGATCCCGCTGCCCAATCTGCTGGGCATTAAATACCGGCAGGCTGAAATTAGCAAGTCTGAGGTAAGGACAGAAAGGCTTACTTGCATTGTATTTTGTCTGTATTCTGTGTAATCTATGTACTTAGTGCTGTTAGTCTGTCCCATCTGAGCACTGAAGCAACTGATAACTGCAGCCTGTGTGGTTTTTATGTTTAATCTACAGAACGCTCTGGTGCTGAATGTGCCTGCCGCAGAAACCTGACGTGAGAGGTACGGCTGCTCCCTGCTGCTGCGGCGAAGAGTGAGCAAAAAAGGGCAAAGCAAGTGTGGTGGGTCTTCAAAGGGTCATCTTCCTCTTTGCTTGACTTTTCAGTAATTTGACTCTATTTGACTCTATAAGCTAGAATAAAAAGACCGCACCACCAAATAATGGGACTCAGTGCATTTAGTGAAGTCAGCTAGGCACGTCTTTGCGGAAGTTGTAACTTTTAAAAGGTTGGTTCCTAAACTGATTGTGTTTACAACAGAAATAGCCCAGCTTTGAAAGAAGCTGCAGTGGTGGAGGAAGGCAAGAGGTTTGTGCTCCTTTCGGTGTTCTTTGGCAGTTGTTAAGAGAGATTTTAGATGCATCACGTAAGTAGCACTTGAAGCACGTGTCTCACCTTAGCATGTAACAGTAATGCAAACAGAATGATGGACTTCGTTTTTCCAGGACCTATGGTTATTAGATGTTGCTTTGGGCTTTTATCATCCAATTGCCGATAGCAAGCTGGCATTCAAAAACTGCAAACCCCAATGCATTTAGCAAATGTTATCTTTGGCTTTTGCCTTCACAACAAGAATAATGAAAATAGTCAAAAATTTCCAGACACCTTTGCTTTTGCAGACAGCATTCATCCGGTAGCTGCTATAGGATTAACGGTTAGCTCTGAAAGGGTCCCTGTGCGTGTCTGTCAGAAACTATACCCAGAAAACAAACACATTTTGCTAAGCAAAAATGACTCATCTGTTACTTCCATGCAACAGAGTTTCCAGAGCCTACAAATGCTTTGGAAGGTGCTAGTCAATGGGTAGTGTGAGCATGGCCTGCCCTTGGCCAGGATAACAAGAGCGATGAGACAGGGATGTGAGTGCAAACAGCGTGCTTGAACGGAGCTGCCAAAACTGCCTGGGAGGGTATTTGCTCCCTAACCCGATAACACTAAAGGGGAAGACGACCATGAACCAGATTAAACAGTAACTGAGGAATTACAAGATAACTTTAGAAACAAAGGAGGGGGTCCATTTGACAATAACTTTAAAAACATGGAAATTTGTCACAGCGGGGGAGGAAAGGGAGAACAGAGCAGCAGAACGGACCAGCCCTGGTCAGGCAAAGCTGGAGGGGGCCCCCGTGGTCCTCGAGCGGGTGCTGCGAGGGACTCGTACCTGGCCAGCGGCTGGGCTGTGCAGGCTGCCCCCGGTGGGGACCCCACCTCAGGCACGAATGTGGCATCCTGGGACTTCCTCACCGGCACCCGCAGGAGCGGGGCACAGGGAGCAGCATAGGCCACAACCAAGCTGGACCCCCCCATATCTCCTGCAAGACGGGGACCCTGTGCTCCAGGGGGAAGCTTGCAACCCACGTGTCCTGCGGAAGAAGGGGGTTGTGTCTGTAACTGTGGGGGGGGGGGTAGGGCTACTTGGGATAGATTATAGAAGGACATTGAGACATCTCTAGGTCTTTATTAATATTTCATAAGTGCCAGGTATTGTGATTTGTTGGTTGTTTTGCCAATATTGATCTCAAGGGCATAGTTCACTGATTGCTGGATAACTATGTGTCATTAGTAAGTCAATGAACGGCTTCGATCTTGATTTGACTGAAGTGATGTGACTGAACATTTTTTCCTGGTGACAGGTAGCTGCTGTAGAATTAAGGCTATCTTTGGAAAGATCATTGTGTTTTTAAAAATTGTCCTCAAGAAAATCTCACTGTGAGGCAGGCTATGAAAACTCCATTTGTTTTCTTCTGTGCATTACCAGACACAGCAGGCATTTGTTTTGTAATGCTTATAAGGAATTGTCTTTGTGAAAAGTTCTAAGCAATGAAGAAAGCGGTCATAAAAAACAGCTCCCTATGAGAGGTGCTGCTTATGATGCCTTCTCTCATCATTGCAGCACAAACGTTGTCAGTGCCAAGCACGTTTTTTGCAAGATTTTCCTTATTGTTCTTATATTAGCTACTAAAGAATTGAAGGGTTTGAGCCTCAATTCCCTTATGAGTAACAAAAATGAATTGAAATATCTGTGTGCAGCCCTCCTAGGAGAAATCAAAGCAGAAAATCTCAGGTGGCACCTATTTAATTTTTCATGAAGCACTTAACCACGCTGCCAAGCTACAATATCAGGTAACTGGTATATAATACGCCTGGGCACTTGATAGAGGTGCAGCCCTGGGATATGTGCAGAAATCAGCATTATCCACTCAAGCTGCAGATGGACCCCAGCACCCTTGTTCCTTCCAGCGATGGGGAGCGTACCAGTCTCCCGTGGTTAATGGTTGCAGGGGAATGAAACAACAAATTAAGAATGCCGTGGTTTAGCAATCCCCACGGAGACAGTTTCCTCCAGCAGAAGCAGCCAGATGTCTGGACAATGCCATGAGGATGGATTGTCCCTGGGGAGCAGAAGAGAACGGTCTCATTTTCAAACCAGGGCTAATGTGTTTTGTTTTGCCAGCTGTGGCAGAAGGTCAGAAGGGCCCCAATGAGGGGGGGAGCCCCAGCAGTAGGTCACCATGAGCCAGGGGTGTCCCCAGATGGCCGCTCGCCTGCCGGCCTGCATCTGAGCCCCCGTGCAAGCAGTGGTGACAGTGCCGCGTGCGGGGCCCCATGCCTGGCAGCTCTGCTCCTCACCCTCCAAAGCTCTCACCATGCCAACAGCCAATTTTACTGAAGATTCAATCATTATTTTGCCCACGTTTCAGCAATACCTACTCCTCTCTTATTAATGTCAAGATCTCTAACACTTCTCTGGGGTATGTCACGGTTACTGTCTGCCCTTACATTTCAATTTCCTGGTTTCCAAGCATCAAAGCAGTATTTATTCACGTCGCTCTCGTTCCTCTCCCTTTGAACAAGTCTGTTCTGATTTAGTCTGTGTTTCTGTCTTCATATGCTGATTTGGCTTCATGTACTTCTGGCTTTGCAGGTTGCTTTAGTGAGAACTGGACCTCACAATGTGATTCTCTTTATGGGAATCTGCTTTGGTTTGCCTAAAATATTTAATTGTCAGAGACCTCTACATTCAGCAGCAGCTGATGAAAAGCCAAATTACAGTCATGCCTAAAAGGTCACTGCTCAGAAGCTATTCTCTGTAGCACTCAAATGCCCTGTTACTATGTGTTGAACATAATCAGGCCTTTTCTTGCGGTAATTCAGGTTTTGTGTAGTGATTGCCCAAAGTGTGAAGTGATTCAGGAGGGATGATAACATAATACCATCTCATTAACACACCCTTCCATCTTATCAAATGTCATGATCCAGCCTTGACAGCTGGGCTTTGTGCTCCGGAGGTCCCTGACTGATCAGGTTGCAGGGAGAGTGACAACTTCTTAAGTAAATTGGCACCTCTGTCATCCCTTCCTTGGCCTTTAGCTAAGATATTTTTCAAAGCTGTAATTAATGCATGACAAAAGCTGGCTAATCTCCTGGAAATACTTATTTCCAAGTTTGCAGAAAGTATTAACTCTGAGCAAGCTCTTTTCTGGGCTTTTATTCGCCAGACCTGGGGAGCAGCCCATCTACCACCGTCGGTGGTCAGTGAGACAGCCGCGTGGGTCATTCACTACTGGCCGCTTAGCTGGCCAAAGCATCCGCCCTTCCGCTAAGGACTGATTCTGGTGTGCGTGTTGGGACACGATCCTCACAGCGGGGCTGCGTTTGCTCCATGGCCCACAGAGGATGGTTTTCATTTTCCTGCCCCAAAGAGTTGCCTTTCTGCTGCAACTCAAGGCAGTAGCTCTCCATGTATGCAGTGCAGGTGATCTAGGTCTAGGACCAGGAGTGAAATGGAGCAAACTGGCATAACCCTTTAGACACGTGACATGGCACAGCAGAAGGTTTTCTCTTTTTCTCCTGCTTGTAACAGTAAATTAATCAGCAGTAAATGAGCAGTGATGTATGAGGTGGGACACAAGTTTTCAACCTGCTTCCAAAATGTAGCCAGAAATCTAAGAGGACTCAGGCCTAGAGGGAGCTGTAGTGTGGAGGTAGAAGATCCCGTGCAGCTGCAGGGCTGTTCCTCTCCTGCAGCACGTTTACTGCACGGGATGGTTTGCCATGGAGGCCACCTCTCCTGATGTACCCATCCTGGGAACAGCAGTCCCTCTAGGACTTCGAAATGATCTGCTAACTGACCAGCTCTAGCCTAGGGGCTCCCTGACTTTGTGGTCAATGGCATTACCCTCTTGGCTGTGTCTTTCCATGGCATTGTATCTGGCGTTTAGTCACACTGAACTGCTCTGAGGCAGAGGTGACAGATTCAGCAATAGAGTCATACCAGTTAGACCAATGCAGCATTTGAGAATCAGATGGTGTCGCTTCAAAGAGCCTGTGCGCCCAGTGCACCCGTGAAGCAGTGACACTTCATCGATGTGCCTTAGCGTGATGTCATTATTCCAATCCAGTAAGTCTTTTTCCTCAATTATCACATAGATTTGGAGCCATTCAAGTCCCTGGAAGGGCCCTGTTGCCTTTGGGAAGCTCTGGGTGAGCTTCCAGGCTGCGGACGCATGGAGGTGGCGAAGACCAGGCTCGGCACGCTAGCTTGGACGGTGCAACACCATGTTCTGTTGCCATCTCTGTGGCCCGTCCTGACACTGAGCAAGGTGCTGTCTGTTCTTCATTTATCACCCAGAATGTGTGGCACATCCCCCTGCATGGGCCTGTTTTGAGGGTAAAGTGCTCAGTGCTGCCACAACGGGGACTGTGGAAGGACCTAAGCAGGGGGAAGTTTTGTCCTGGTATGTGTTGCTGTAATGGTAAAAGTCTCATGAAAAGTCTTACTGGCAGCTAGTAACTGAGCTAGCAGGATCTAGGCCGTGCTGCCAGAACAGGCAACAGAACCGTTTCCATCTGTCCTTTCCCCATTGCGTGTTAATTTTTTGCGGAAAAACTGAAACCTGAAGTGTCTCCATGAGCAGCGGGGGTGCCACAGCAGACAGCAGTGCCCAGTGCGTCCCTGCCTGTGGTGCCTACCCGTCCCCAAAGAAATATTTTGGTTTTCAGGTAACAAGTATATTGACAGCGTTTTTTAGTCAAACCCTCCATTTCAGGGTTTAGTAGGACATGATTTTTCTGCCATTTCCATGTACTGGTATTGGGCTTACTGAATGAAGAGCAAGCCCAAAGACACAACGTACTAACCTGGCACAGGTGTTTGCCTGCATCCTGTGTGGACCCCCACCCCAGACGTGGCCTGAAGTCTGGCTCTGCCCTCACTGGCCATTGCTCAATAACTTACCTAACTTTTAACATCTATAAAGAAATGTTTGTGTTGGAAGTCACCAGAAACCATATATTGTTTGTTTTACTCCCCACCAATTATTCTTGATGTCCTCAATGACATCAGTTGCCTCATTCCTGTTGTAAAGTTTTGTATATAAGGATCCGTGCTGCAGATCAGCTTCAGAAGACAAGGAGATCAGCTGGAGAGGTTCTTACGAGCAAGAGCTTCATCAGGTATGAGCAAAGCTATTCGCTGAAAGCATGCTCTGAGCTTCTGCTTCTGCAGAAGCCCCCAAAAGGGGAACGCTTAATGTTAGCTTGTGAGAGTTGATCACGCTCACAGGCATCTTGGGTTTTAACAATTATCATTATTCTTGCCTGCTGCATGGTGAGTTATGCTTCAACAGGTAAAGTGAGAAGCTGCTCTCGCTCTGAGCTTCGCTGGCACACGCGTGAGTGTTCAACGTACTGACTGTCCTTGAAGAAGAAAGGGTATTTCATGATTTTCATAAACAATTATCGGTTAAATTATTTTTGGTATAACTCTATTATCTGGGATAGGTTTATACCTAAGATGAATGAGACCTTTCATGCTTATTTTGATTCTTTTTGATGTGCTATTTACATTTAAATGAATTGGGGGCAGTGAAGTTCATTATGGTTCTTAAAAAAAATGCTGCATCTAGTTGTAGGTCCCATAAAAATAAAGGAAATATTTCAATGACTCTGAAACTTTTAAAATGATTTTCTCCTTATTACAATTTTAGCAAGGGGAACTTTTATGCAGGGACAAGCCTCAGATGTTTGATGTTGGTGTAGAGAAGCTGACATTCAAATGAGGAGATGCTCTCCTTACTAGCTGTGTTGGTTGATTTGTTCTGTATTCATGCTATTGCTTGAGAGAGACTATCACGTTGCCAGAAATGTCCTGTTTTCCCTTCATCAGAGATACAGAATCTTGTTTTTCAGAGAAATTCTCACCCAGAACGGATGCACCCCAGATGTTCCAAAAGAAGTAACTAATACGGCATGCCAGTGCTAAGGAATTAAAGCAGGGACAGCTGCCCACTCGCTTTCTTTTTACACGGTGCTGTGACAGTCAGTCTTTGAGCAACTGTTGCTCAGGTGCTGGTTCCTTCTGCAGCGAAGGGCAACCAGGGGTTTTACTGTTCACAGCAGTGTGGTGAGGAGGTGGGAGAGGCACTAACAGCTTCCTCTCTGATTTTTGCCTCCCTGACAGATTCCTCGACCCATTGGACTGTGCTCGTTGTCCCAAAGCTGCACTGATTGCAATTACTTTCCACAGTTCCTGGACCAAAGATGTCCAAGTTCTGGGCAGTTTTCCTCCTCTGTGGCCTGCTGACCCCTTCACAAGGACTTCTTGGAAACATCCCCTTGGTTTCCAGGTTGGATAAAGATGTGGTAGAAAATGGTGAGTGTATGGAAGGGATGGGGTTTTTCTTTATTTTGACACCAGTTCTGCTCCTCTTGTCTCTTGACTGCACTCAGAAAATCAGAAGTTAGTCCAGAGCTGTTCAGCAATAGCGATGATGCTGGTAATTTGTGCTTATCAAACACTTTGGGCATGGGGCTTCAGAGGCTTTACAGTTGCTGGTACCATCATGGCTGTTGTGTAAAGGGGGAAATGGAGGCACAGTGGCAGGGAAGGGGTGGCCTAGCCGACGCAGCACATTTGTGCTTTAAATCTGCATGGCTCACAGTGACCTTCCATCCATTTGTTCAGCTATTACAGGGTCACTTACCAAAGGTGACTTTCTCCAAGGGCTCCTGGGCAGTCTCGTTGGCGGGAATCAGCTCAGCAGTCTCATTGGTGGCCTCCTTGGCGGAGATGGCCTCCTTGGCGGAGGTGGCCTCCTTGGCGGAGATGGCCTCCTTGGCGGTGGCCTCCTTGGCGGAGATGGTCTTCTTGGCGGAGATGGTCTTCTTGGCGGTGCCCTTGGCGGAGATGGTCTTCTTGGTGGAGGTCTTCTTGGCAAGCAAGGTCTGCTGGGTGCAGTGCAAGGGCTCACAGGGTGAGTGAGAGTGGAAGACGGCTGTCCCTGAGCAGTGTGTGGCCTGGGCCATGCTGGGGAAAGGAGGCTCTGGACCAGAGCCTGCAGTCTGGAGACACGTGACTCCATCTTTCCCTTCCCAGGACAGGTTTATAAACAAGCCTTTGAGAGATGCTTTATGTATCTGCCATGTCAAGGGTGCCTTGTGTTTGCCGCATGCTGGCCCTGGCCGGCAGAGTTCCCTCACTGACCCAAGGCAGAGGACCGCAGCAATTGTTCGGGGGCTGCACGTCCATAGGGAACATCTTTTGCCCTGGAGCTGAGCTGCAGAGTCCTCCCACGAGTGCTGGCATGCCTACGCACAGATGTGTGACTGGCAGCGCTCGCAGGGCCCCCGGGACTGCAGGCTCTGCAAGCAGATGCTGGTGCTGAATGAGGGTGGAGGTGACAGGGTGTCTGCTTTACAAACGTGCTACTTTCTGCTGCTTCTTGGTTCAACTATCCAGGCTGAAAATCGTGAACATTACCCTTCCCAAAATCACTCTGCGCTTCCTGCCGGGGATCGGGCTCCAGCTGAATCTCTACACCCAGCTCACGATAGACGGTGGCTCGTAAGTAGTTTCCCTGCTGGAGCACAGCAGAACTGATGGTTGTTACAACTCAGGACAGAGGGTTTTATCCATCTCTTTGGAAAATAGATGCTTAGAATATTTTCTTACTGAGACTTGCACATACACTGCGCGTTCAAATGCTGATGTATCAAAAGTGTATCTGAGAGCTGTGTGTGGACAGCATACACTGTCTCAGTCTTGTGCGCCCTAAAGCTCTCTGACAGCACCTTTCGGAGGCTTCCCAAACTGCTCCTTGGAGGCCTTCATGTCTGTCTGTCTGTCTTCCCACTAACCGGGCTGAGGAACTAACCCAGTTGCAGTGGATTAAATTTGGAAGTGTGAAGTCCAGCACAAAGAATGAGCTGCTGCGAGTTTGTGAGTGAGATGTGTCCTGTGTTTAATCCCCGGGGCTCTGCTCAGTGCTGCAGGTGGGCTGCTTCGCGTTCAGGTCGAAGCAAACATAATGGCAAGAGCTAGGCTGGTTCAGGATGCATCGGGGGCGCTGAAGCTGGTCATCGAGGACTGCAGGACTCTTCTGGGAGACATCAACATCCGCGTGGGGTAGGTGCCTGTGTATGGGGTGCTCAGCGGCAGCATGGTGCGGATGCAGCCCTAATGAACGTTTGTGCTCTTAACCGTCAAAGGCAGTGTAGTAGCACTTTTGTGCCTGGCACGAGGGAGGCTGAAATGCCGGGAGGAAATGCTGAAGTTTCTTTTAAAGTTTTGGCTCAAGTGACAGAAGTAGCATATTTCTGGGCTGTGCTGTAGTCCTGACACTGGGCCAAATTCAGAAGGTTCATTTTTGTTAAAATAAACAGCCCTGAGGTACAGCCTTGGACAATGCAAGTGAGACCTCAAATTTCTCTTGTGCAGAGTATGTTTGGTTCTAATTACTAATTTGTGCCACTTTTTACTTCCTATTTTCCTGTTATTCAGACCCAAACTGCCAGTTCTGGATAAAGCTTTAAAAGGTGTCCTTGGTAGCGTCCTGCCTAAACTGGTAAGTCTTCAAAATGATCTTTATTAAATGAATGGGCGTTATACCTAGAAAGGGCAGTTTGTGCAGCTGACCACGCAGCAGTTTGCCCTTGTGGACCAGGCTTCCCCATGCATAAGGGCTGTCGGTGCACAGGCAGAATTACTTCTCAATGGCAAGCCCATCCTCTCCATCTGCAGCAACACCTGCAAACGTGCACTACTGCACGTCACATGAAACCTTTGCATGTGCAAAGCCTCCTTTTGCAATCAGATTTTTGAGAAATATCCACATTAACGAGCACCCCATCCACAAGAATGAGAAAATCTTGCCTTGGAGGTGAAACCCACCCAGGCGTAGAGGGTTTGTGCACCCTGTTGTGACGTTAAGTGCTGCAGTACTGAGGCATCGCACTGGCCGCTGTCCCCAGCAGCAGTCCCTGCACATCACGGCGAGCACCAGCGCTGGCCTCTGTGTGCCTCATCAGAGCCAGCGAGGTGGCGGGAGCCTTGGGGGGCCAGGAATTGCCCAGCTGATGAGTTGTTACTGGTCCTGTTAATAAAACATACCAGGACATACGTCCCTGAGAGTCTCAGGGAATTTGACTTTCTTCTGCCTCTTCAGCTGTGTCCTGTCGTCGACACTGCGCTTGGCGTTGTGAACACGCTGCTCGGCACTGTCACTTGTAAGTGTTTGGTAGCTTCCTTTTCTTCTGTTCCCATACAATCCCCCAGCCTGTGTCTGTCTAGCATTTAGAGTTTGTTTTTTTTTTTAACATTGGGTAAATACAAATATTTTAACAACTTCCTTAACGACTTTCAGTTCAAGCACAACATCCAGCTCGCATTACCCCTGGCAGCAATAGAGAATCTTTCTGCAAAAGACCACTTCAGAAACTATTGCTTTTGGAAACAACAGTTTTGCTGTGAAAAAAAAAGTGCTTTCTAGACACTTATCCAACTGGGAGCATTGTGAGCAGGAGCAGCCATTGGTTCAGATATCTTTTGGGACCTTAGTAATTGGGAATATTTCCCTTTTGTTGTCATTTAAAAGCTTTTCTTCCAAAAAGCAGCTGTGCTCCCACTCGGAGCTCTGGGAAATCTCCAGTACACGCTAGGGTCCCTTCCCATCGTCGGCAACAAATCCATCCAGCTGGATTTAAACGTAAGTGCCACCACTTTCCTTTGCACAAACACCTTTGAATCAGCGAAGCTGGATAATTCATCTAAATGTGTGACTATTTTTAAAAGACTCCTCTTACTGCCAGCTATCTTTAGGAAAGCATTCGCTGAAAAATACTGATGGCTGTCATCCAGCAATGTCTGTGTTAATGCCACCACTGGGTCTCTGCTTTACCTTTTTCTTGCTAATCCTGGAGCATAGCATGAGTCACACTGGCTTGACATTGCCCTGCTCTCTCCACCCCCTGCAGCTCCTTGTCCGGGACGCCGAGGGCAACGTGGTCCACCAGGGCCTGGGACAAGTGGCGCC